CATGGCGACCGCACAGTTCAGGCTCAACAAGGATGCAGTACGGCGCTCACGTCGATGTTTTGAAGAGCCACACGCTCGTGCCCAACCCACTCAATCAACGAGCGGCGATGGTGCAGCAGAGCATGCATTGATGCTCAAAAAAAAGTAGAAACAAAAAAAAAATTACGCAGCCACACCAAAAAAAGGAGCTGGGCAGCGTCAGCAAAACATTGCTTTCGTTTTTGTCTTCCTGTTCAAGATCGTAGAATGGACCAATGATGGCCACATCAGCGTTAGGAAGGGTGCCCCCTTATTTACAACGGCGGAAGGCCGTGCATCTTCGGGATCAGCCGAAGCATGTCCTCCGTCATCTTCTCGAGGTCGTACTTCACCTCGTAGCCCCAGTCCTTGCGGGCGTTGGTGTCGTCAAGGGAATCGGGCCACGTGTGTGCAATGCCCTGGGCGGGCCCCTCAACGTACTCCACCTCCAGCGGGCGCTTTGTCCGCGCCTCGATGCTGGCCTTCAGCTGCGCAGGGGTGAGGCTGAAGCCACTGATGTTGTACACTGCGCGGTTGAGACTGCTCTTCGGCGCCTCCATAAGCTTGAGCACGCCGTTCAGGGTGTCCGGCATGTACAGCATCGGCAGCGGCTCGTTGGGTTGCACCGGGCAGACGTACTTCTTGCCCATCAGAGCACAGTGGTACATGTGGATCGCGTAGTCCGTCGCGCCGCCGCCGGGAAGCGTCGCAGCGGAAATGATGCCGGGGAACCGGACACTGCGGAAGTCCACGCCCATCTTTTCGCGGTAGTACGTACCAAGCAGCTCCGTGAAGACCTTGGTGACGCCGTACACCGTCGAGGGGTTCAGCACCGTGTCGTCCTTCGTCATCACCTTGCCACACTTATCACCGAAGGCGGCGATGGTGCTGGGGATAAAGCAGCGCATCTTGTAGTCGCGCGCGAGGTCAAGGGCGTAGCGCGTGGTGTTAACGTTTAAGTCCAGAGCCAGCTGCGGCTCCGCCTCACCGCGAACAGACATGATCGCTGGGAGGTGGCACAACCACGTCGGCTTGAAGTCCTTCACCAGCTGCTCGTAAGAGGCCCGGTTCATGCAGTCCAGCGCCTGGAACCCCTTCCCACCAGCAAGTGGGTGCGTCGCAGGTGGCGTAATCCGGTCGCTCACAAGAACGGAATCAGCGCCGAACTTCTCGCGCATTGCGAGCGTGAGGTCGGTTCCGATCTGGCCCAGCCCGCCGGTGATGAGGACCCTCGGCGCCTGGCTCATGCAGAGACGGGTAGCGCACAGCATTGCTCTTTAATGTGAGGAAAGGCTTTTTTTTCTTGGGCAGAGTAGTGGCAGTAGTGGGAGAGAACAAGGGGAAAGGGGGTAGCACTTGCACCCACTGGGGCTCAGTCCTGCGCCGCGTGACGAGGTTGTGCATCGTGAAGGCCACGGTCGGGCTAAGCGACAGGTGCGAGACGGTCACGCCACCGGGCACACACTGCATCTCTCAGACAGCGGCATAGCAATCGCACAGACGCGTCTCCTCCGTGACGACAAGCGAAGCGCCCAGAAGGAACGGGCAGCAGCAACTACCGTCGGACAAGCGTTGGCGCCATCGCATGATTTCACTGGGTTGCAGGAGGCATAGAGAAGACAGGAGCCGCCCCAAAAAGGAAGCCGAGCATGGCTACGCCCTCCCCTTCCCGGCCAGCCACAGTCTGCACCCCACGTCTACACAACACGGCGGCCAATCGCCCTCCGCCCCAACACTCACAGACCGCACGCGTGATGCACCCACGCACCCACGCAACGGTTTTCGGCAGCCATCATGACGTAAAGCCAGCACAAAACCCTCCGCGTGGGTCAGCGGATCCGTCGTCCCGTGAAGAAGACGTCCTCATGCAGCTCACCTAGGTGTCCGTGTGCCCTACCAGCTGGCCAAAAGCAACGTGAGGCCATCGACCTAAAGCAGCAAGCAGAAGAAAAAGGAAGCAGTGCGTCACCCACACAGCCTTGCCAGAGCCAACAGCTGATGGCAAAATGCGCCCCGACAGCCACGCATCCCACCCCACAAGGGCATTTTTCTTCGTCAAGTATTTTGGGTCGTCCAAGTTGGGGTATCCACCGAGAAGAGGGTATAACGCTTCTCCGAGAAAACCCAAGACACCGTAGGAAAAATGTAAACCCCTCCATATGCGACGCCTTGATGCATGGCGACCGCACAGTTCAGGCTCAACAAGGATGCAGTACGGCGCTCACGTCGATGTTTTGAAGAGCCACACGCTCGTGCCCAACCCACTCAATCAACGAGCGGCGATGGTGCAGCAGAGCATGCATTGATGCCCCCCCAAAAAGGTAATTAACAAAGGAACATAATGTGCGCACCTCAAGAAAGAACTGAGTAATCGTGGCGACGTACTGCTTTTGTATTATAAATCAACTCAACGTATTTGAATGGACCAATGATGGCCACATCAGCGTTAGGAAGGGTGCCCCCTTATTTACAACAATTGAAGGCCGTGCATCTTCGGGATCAGCCGAAGCATGTCCTCCGTCATCTTCTCGAGGTCGTACTTCACCTCGTAGCCCCAGTCCTTGCGGGCGTTGGTGTCGTCAAGGGAATCGGGCCACGTGTGTGCAATGCCCTGGGCGGGCCCCT